AAATGGGATTTCACAGTGATTTTGTCAAGCTTGTTATGGTCTGTGTCACTACAGCTACTTTCTCCTTCAAAATAAATGGAACAGTGAGTGGTATGGTCACACCAACTAGGGGAATTAGGCAAGGAGATCCACTGTCTCCTTACCTTTTCATCATCATAACTGAGCTTCTCACTGCTTTGATTGGTCAGTCAGTTGGCAATGAACAGTTCAGAGGTCTCAAACTGTCCAGAAATGGCCCATTGCTTACTCATCTTCTATTTGCAGACGACTCTCTATTTTTTTGCAAGGCAAGCACAGATCAAGCAGCAGTTCTAATGACAATTCTTGAGAAATATAGGCTCTTTACAGGTCAAACTGTCAACCTCCAGAAATCTGCAATCTTCTTCAGCAGAAACACTCCTCAGTCCATTAAATCTTCTATCTGTAATACTCTGAATGGGATCATCTCTCACAGATCAACAAGATATCTTGGCCTGCCACTTGGGATAGGAAAATCCAAGAAAGAAGTTTTTGCCTATCTGTTAACCTCAGTGAAGAAGAAGCTGCACAACTGGAAGACAAAATTTCTAAGCCCAGCTGGAAAGGAAGTCTTACTCAAAGCAGTTATACAGGCTTTGCCCATCTTCTCAATGTCTTGCTTCAAACTCCCAGTCACCCTTTGCTCTGAAATCTCCATGCTCTGTGCCAAATTCTGGTGGAACACAGGTGATCAGCAAACTAACAGCATCCATTGGAAGAAATGGTGTTATCTCACTTTGCCAAAAACTGCTGGTGGCCTAGGGTTCCTGGACTTGCAAATATTTAACAAGGCCCTTATATGCAAACAATTGTGGAGAGTAGCAGCCAATCCTAACCTTCTTGTGAGCAGAATCCTTAAAGGCAGATACTATCCCAATTCCTCAATTACTCAAGCAACTAAAACTCAGAATAGCTCTTGGATGTGGAGCTGCTGGCTAGAAGTTCTGCCTTTCTTTTCCAAATGGCTGAAGACAGAAGTAAGAAATGGAGTTTCTACTCAAATAGCAGATTTCAATTGGGTTCCAAATCTCAATAAGCCAACTCCAACACTGATACCAATTGCCAGAGGTCATCTGAAATGGGTTCATGAACTCATTCAACCCAATGGCTTGCAGTGGAATGAGTGGCTGGTGAGGCAGGTTTTTGACCCTGGTGACAGTGAAGCCATCCTTAAGATTACATCCCTACATCCTAACAGAAATGACAGATTTTTTTGGGGCTTAGAGGCAAAAGGTGACTTCACAGTTTCCAGTGCATACAAGCAGCTCTCAAGCATCAAACTCACACAGCTCGACATTCCTGAAAGCAGTTCTAATGCCACTCTGAAAAAATCAATCATGTTCAGACATTGGAAATTAAAAATTATGGGAAAGGTGAAACATTTTATCTGGAAATGTATGACAGGAACCCTCCCTGTGGCTGTTCAACTGAGAAGAAGGAAAGTGAACATTGATCATATTTGTTCTATTTGTGGTGAAGCATCTGAAACCATTGAACATGTTCTTCTCACATGTCCTAGAGCAAGGAGGACCTGGGAGCTATCTCCAGTTTCTTGGAATGGCCTCCACACTGCCACAGACTCTTTCAAAACCTGGTGGTACCAAGTCTGCTCCATTAACCACACAGATGTTGCCGAAGCAAGGATACAATTATCAACATACATCCTTTGGTGGCTCTGGAAGTCCAGAAACCTGTGGATTTTTCAAAACTCACTAATGCCAGTAGCCTCAGTTCTCAAACAAGCTCAGGCAGATTGGCTCCAGTTCTGTTCCTCACATTATTGTCAGTAGATTTCTCTTTTTATTTTTTGCTTTTGTAGCTGTTGGTAGAGGTTGATTTTCCTTACTAGGCTTTTTAGCAGTGGTGGGAAGTTTCCTCTGTATTTTTATTTCTGTTTCTATTCCTCTTGTAGAGGCTCTAGACCATCCTTGGATGTGTCTCTCATTTTTACATTTTCAGGTGTATTTTGTATCTTGAACCTTGTATTGGGACTTTGTTCCCCCTCAGTTATATTATAGCTCATCTGTCGTTCTGGGAAAAAAATAAAAAAATAAACACAACATACTTGTTATATGATATTTTACTTAAATTGTGGAATTCCAAATGTTGTTTCATTGAATATACTATGCAAATTAATGAAATTAAATTATATATTTCAATATTCACTTGTGCTCCTGAAGATGTTATTCACTTGTGCTGCAGGGTGCTTGATACTCCAATCCAGGGAGATAATAAACCATCAATCCTTTCTTCAACAAAACTTTCTAATTCTCTGTTGTTACCCCAAGTAAAGGGGTATTCTGACATTCCTATATCCTTCATACCCATTGAGGAGATGAAATCATTAGGGGGCTTGCAAGATGCTATTGTTCTCAATCTTCCTCCTCTTTTATCTTCAGGATACACTAAGTCATTGAAGTCTCTTACTAGGAACCAAACATTTCCCCACTTGTGCTTCTCAGAGATGAGATACTGCCACTGGTCTTTCTTAGGTGAGGGTCTGTGCTTGCATATAAGAAGATTCCCCAGCAAGTTAGAGTTTTTTCTTCAACCCAAAACTCTATCTCAATATAGAAAGAGCTTTTGATAATCTAAAAAACTTGAAATTAGACATCCCAAAATAACAAAAGGCCAACACTTCTGCCAGAAGGATCTACAGAGGACCAATTATTTACAACTTAAATTTTTGCAAAGTGTTGAAATAAAAGCACCTTTTTTTTGTTTCAGCAAGAAACAAAAAACTCGGGTGATGGAACCTTCAAATCTCCTTAATTTGGGAAATTGTAGAAGGGCTACCCACACATCTACAATTTCACACTGCAAGTCTGCAACCTTTATTTATCCTCTTAGGGCCAATTTGAGCTGGCCTCCCTCACCCTGTGGCAAAGGTTTTCAAATTTTTACTAAATTTTCATATAAGTTTTCCATAGTATATATCCAATTGCCTTTTAACTCTGGTGATTCTAGTCTGAGGGTTCTCTTCTATTTTTATCCATGTTTGCATCTTTCTTTTCCAAGATTTCTGTTTTCATGAGGCTCTTGGGATTGCCAAGTTGTCTGAGTGGCTAGCTGGTTGGAAAGTTATTATGATTGAGGTGGGATTGGGTGCTTCTACTTCCATATATGATGCTTAGGTGAGGTGGATTGAGGTATTTCAGTGATAGAGAAAGCTAGTTCTAGGATGGAGGAAGTTTTGATTGATCTTGATTGTAGTGATATAGAATTGAGAAAAAAGAAAGTTAAAGACTTAAGTAGATGAATAGTGAATTTCTTACATAAAAAATGTGTGGTCAATCCAAAGAATAATATTTAAAAAAAAAAAACTTATATCCAAATTGTTGTTGGTATAGAAATAGCACAATCCGATTATCAAAATAATTGTAATAACAAGGACCGATATTGATAGTCTTGGTCATATTTGATTACATGAATTACTTAGGAGAACAACAAAAAGGTAACTTAACGACCGTTCAACGGCAACTGTCCTCAATTCCACTGCAAAATGTGAAATAACTTTGAACAACAAATGTGAACCATTGGAATGTCAACTGTGGTTGGTTTGCTGGTAAAATAAAATAATTGTCACATGCTCACATCACCGCACCTCATTTCCTTTCACATTTCAATGATTATTTTCGCAACATCTATACTTATATTAAAAGGTATACCATTTATCAGATTTAGTATAAAGAAAAGTCAACAACATTTATTGCATTACTATTTCCGTATTATACAATCTATACTTATATAAAAGGAGATTCTATTTACTACATTTACTATCCAAAAAAGTCAACTGCATTAAATGCCATTACTATTTTTGTATTATAATATTTTATTTATTTATTTATTTATTTTATTTTAAAAAAGTAAGTATAATAAAAATATTTTAATAATAAAAAATCAAATATCAAATGAAAATGTACACTTTGACTTATTTGATTATATTTGATATTTGATTATATCAAATATATTCCTATTTAGTATATACATTAAATACTTACTAAAGTATTTATTTGTTTTATTTGTTAAAGTTAAGTATAGATTTGTTTATATTATCAAATCATAAAAAAATATTAAATCCATATTGTAAAAAAAAAAATCATATAATTTTATAACAATTCTACTACACTATTTAACAATATTTCTTTTTTATTATATAATAAAATAATAATTAAATATTATATGGTGAACAACAATAAGTAAAACTGTTACTTTCTCTTATATCAAGGGATAAATTTATATGCTAAAATTAAATTTTTATTAGTATAAATGTTTTAGTGAGATAATATATTAATTATTTTACAAGTTAGCCCTAACATGCTCATATTTAATGTTTTAAAAGATGTAGAAAAAAAAACTTATAATAACTCTATTGTTTTTTAGACTTAAACGTTGATTAAAAGAGGTAAAAATTCTTAATTTTTTAGACTTAAACGTTGATTAACACCATAGATTGAGAGTTTATATTTAGTAAAATTCCTAATTGTAATACAAAAATTAATTTTTACTATATTTTAGAATATCTTTAAATTCATTATGAAAAAAAAAGAAAAAAAACTACAATGAAAAGCAAGTCAGCTATATATCGATTTGTTGTACTCCTCAAATCACATTCACAATTTGACTACAAGGAAAGGAAACTAATTGATTAAATATTATTTTGTCAGTAGTCTTAATGTATAAGAGAATTTAAGACTCCACCTGAATATTATAAAACTTTTATTGAACATTGTACAATTTTCTTGCGTATTATAAACATTTATTGAATAATGCATCTTATAATATAATATTCTCCAAATAAATATATTCTTGCGTATTATAAACATTTATTGAATAATGCATCTTATAATATAATATTCTCCAAATAAATATATCTCGTGCTTCGCACGGGTCACGTACTATATATATCCCGTACATTTTTTTTATTTATGTATATAATTATAAGCCTAGATAAATAGCCTTAAAATTGTGCAACTCGTGCATCGCACGGGCTCTGTACTAGTCAATACTAATTCAGCCACCCTCTTTGACTATAGCTAATAAATACATAAAAACCCCACTTTCCTTTATTCCTTTCAAATCAGATACCCCAATTATCATCTCCCGGCTGACTTTGGAATGTATATATATCCGAGTTGAATTAATCCACAACAATTCTGCAGCATCTTTTATTAATTATAACAGTGATGTTGAGGAACGGGTCTACAATTGTATCCCTATTATGGCTGTGCGTCGTCGTTTTAGTTTTGGGGCCACAATTCCCAATCTGCAACGCGGACATCGGCAGCGCCAGCCGCTACTCGCCTCCGTATACGCGTAAGTTACAGACTCGATTTGATTTGATCAGATCCGATTTAGAAATTCCTCTGTAAAATGTGTGCGGATGTGCAGCGACGGCGTGCTACGGCGAGGATCCTGGTCAGTTCCCGACGAACAGGTTGTTTGCGGCGGCCAGAGAAGATATATGGAATAACGGCGCCGCCTGCGGGCGGCAGTACATGGTGCAGTGCATCAGCTCGGAGTTGCCGCCGGCCTGCGTGCCCAACCAGACGATCCAAGTGAGGATTGTGGATCGGGCCCTAACATCGGTCTCACGGCCCGTGCAGGAAGGAGCCACCCTTGTCTTATCCAGTGTAGCATTTGCCGCCATTGCGGATCCCAGAATTCCCTTCGTAAACATCCAGTTTGAACAGTGAGTGCTTTTTCGATCTTTTTTTCTTCATTTTTTTTTTCTTAAATCAAATCATCTTTTTCAATGGAAAAAAGTTATATAGGTTTTAAAAAGTTTTGGTTTTAATTTTTTATCAAAGTGCATAGATTTCGAAAAAAATCTTCAAAAGTGAGGTATTCATCTAAATTTATTTGAATATTTTATGATATTTATATTTTTAAATATGTATATATATAAATAATTTCACACCAAATTCCTCAAGTGTTTCAGTTAAATCAAAAAATCATAAAAAAGTTTCCAATTTGAATAAAAAAATATTATTCAAAATTTCAAACGAATATACGTACTGAAATGTCTTATTTTTAAAAACACTTCAAAGTGTTATTTCTGGTGTATTAAAGATAGTTTTTCTCTATCTTGGATATTTTAATGGGAAAATGTGCATTTCTGTTTAACTAGATTTTCCATGGTATGTATTTTATTCAGTGATAAAATATGTGCTCTAGTCGTAATAGGAACAGAATATAATAACTGCAAAGTAAGTACCAAACGATGAAATAAACAATAAAATTAATTTGATGCGGATATATTCGTCGAACCAGTCCTGGATGCAATGTATCACTATCACAGTATGACAGAAATTAGAAGGGACTAGAAAGTCATTGATTTATTGATTTTTATTTATTTTGGTGACATGCGTAATAAAACTGCACTCCCCAATTGCTTTTTATCCTATTTTCTACCTAATACTAATGTACAAAAATTGCAAATAATATATTATAAATTATATGTATGGATATTATATTTGAAATTATAAGTTAAATATTGAGCACATCTTATTTTATAATTTTGATTATTAGTAAAGATAAGTAATTTAATTATAAAATATTTTACTTATTTATGAATCGTTGTATAGTTGCACAAAATTTAATGAATAATATAAAATTTTATAAATTTAAAGTATCATGACCAATTAATCAAATACAATAAAATATCAAAATCATTGTTATAACAATTATTTCCGTGATTTTAAGGAGTTTTTTATGACATTAAAATCAATTTCGGTATTTAAAGAAAAAAAAATCTTAATGAAGTAAAACAAAAACGTAATATTAATTCTAACATAAATACATTGAAGAAAAAGTTTTCAATAGATTTATTTATAGTTTTGTAACTTCTAGTGTGAATTTATAATTAGTTAATTAATTACTAATAATACTATGATTAGTTAAAATAGATTAATATATTTTATTAATACAACATATAATGGTTAACTAGTGTGTATCCTGTGCGCTGCACGGAGGGGTGTTTACTTAAAACCTTTTCTAAGACTTTATATTATACATAGTTATTTATGTTTAACATCTTATTATTATAAAAAAAGAAATACTAAATATGAAAAATTATATATTATTTATTTGAATATAATGAGTGTCCCAACCAAACTAATAACATTCAACATATGATATATGATAAAATTAACTATATGATCCTCATACTTTTTGAAAAAATATACATATATTTCTAATAAACATGTAAGATCCGCATTTAAATTTGTATTTGGATATGGGATGAAAAATGAATATGTACAAATAAAAAAGTACCAAGAACCTACATAAAATGAGATTCTTTATAAACTTTAAAATATTTTGTAGTTAAGCAAATATTAACAAACAAAATCATCAATTAAGTTGAACTTATCGAATATAAAATATAATTTATGATATCATTGACCATATTTACCCGTTGTATTTAAAGTTATCATTGACCATATTTTTATGAATTAGGGTTTACAAAAAATTTTTTTCAAAATAACAATTTTTTTTAATTTGAATTTGACTTTTTCATCCAACCGCCATTTTCCACAAGAATAAAAATAGTATTTTGGAAAATTTTAGACGTGAAAATCAAATAAAATTAATTTAATAGTAATCGATTAATTTAATATTATTCAAAATTGTTTAATTCGGTCAACCCGATCTTAGTGCACGTTTAATTGAAACAATCGCTTACAAAAAAAAAGGTAATCGCTTACAAAAAAAGGAAGTGAAATCTATCTATATAATATAAATCGGATTTGAAAAAAAAAAAGGAAATAAAATTTCATAATTAATTAATTTAAATTGATGTTATCCGATTTATATCAACTCCCTTCCAAAAAAAAAGGAAATATCCGATTCCTACCAAATCGATTAAAAAAAAAGGATTATGATATACGTCCAAATAAATTACAATTGAAATGTAGGCGGGATTATGAAAAAAAAATAAAAAAAACTTTACCGAATGTTTGAAAAAAAAAATCGGATTAAAAAAAATTAAAAGGAAAAAATTCAAAACGTGAAATTAAAATTAAAAACGTGAATTAAAATTAAAAAAATTAAAAATACAAAATTTACCAAATCTCAACCCATCAAAAAAAAAAGGAAAATCGAGTGAAATAAAACGTGAAAAAAAAAGGAAAAGCGAGTGAATTAAAAATGTACCAAATCGAATTTTAAAAAAATGGTAACAAATCTCATCTCATCCTAAAGAAAATGAATTATAACAATATTAACAAAAAAACAACCAAATCTTATCCTAAAATAAAACAATCTGATTTCCATAAATCACATCCAAAATCAAATTAAGTTAGGCGAGATAAATGAAAAAAATTCAAAAAGAGTTTCCAAAACAGGTAATTTTCGAAAAATTTGAGAGGGAAAAAATGATGTTTAAGCGGGAAATGAAATATTTATTCAAACATTTTTCCTTCTCCGTATTATATAGTAATAGATTTTTATATTTAGATAATAAAAAATGAGCGAAAATTTTGGGATAGTATTAATTGGATTGTCCTTATTTATATATTTGATCTGGATTGATTTATGGAATGTGCAAACAAAGATGACAAAATGTTACTTATTGTTTTGCATTTAATTTACTTACAAACATAAACATTTAGTTGATAAAATTCTATTATAAGGCTCAACCTTTTGAAGTTGTATCGATTTTAGATTTGAATTTTATTATTTCTTAATATATGGTTCATATTTTAGGTTATCTATATATATATAATTACTAGCTAATAGCATTTAAGAAAATCTATTTAATAAAACTTCTAAAATTTTTCCTCCATTTTCGGTTACAAAATTTATCATTAATGTTTTTTACTTCTCACATTAATACATCTTATTGAGTGTAATCATGTATTTTCTATTATATAATAATTAATGCTAATACCAACCAATAATAATTCACAATAAATATAAATTGCATAATTATAAACAATTGTTTCAAGTTATTTATTTTAACATCAATATTATTTTTTTCTTTTGTATCTCATGAAAAAATTTCTTTAAAAATAATTAATAAATTATTTTAATAGCATAGTCAAACAACTTTAGAATCTTATAAACAATTATTTTTGTAATAATAATAATAATAACAATAATAATAATAATAATAATCAAACTGCTATTATCTAATTATAATTAACAATTGTTCATAATAATAAACAATCATTAATTTATTTTTCCTAATGATTAATTTTTAAAAATGTAATATGTTCATTATCTAAAATTTTAATATTAAATTCTCGAATATTGCTCATTATATTTTATGTACATCTGTGCATGTGCATATGATATTTACTAGTTTTCAATTTATAACTTACTTTTATAGTTGACTTCTCAATATAAGGCCCAACTAACTTTATTTTATAATAAAATTATGTGAACAATTTTTTTTTTATAATTTATATTTATATATACTTATAATAAAAAATAATAATTATCTTTAGTATATTATCCAATTTTTACAGTACGATGGTTGGCTGTTCACGGTTAAGAAAAAGAATCTATATAAATTACATTTATGCAAAAGTTTAACAAAGATTATTTCAAATATTTGTAAGTGAATTTAAAAATTATGTATATTTTATTTATATAATAATAATTTTATATATATTTAGCATATTAATAAAAATAATACTAAATTATAGTAGTATTTTTTGAATTCCCTTTTCACTCTTTTGAAAATAGATATAACTTATGTGTAATTTCTTCATTTAAGTCAATTGTTAAAGATAACTAATATTTCTGTTATTAATATGTTAAATATAGATTATAAAAATAATATTATAGTTTACATATGTAAAAAAGTAAAGTTATTGCGTCTTACATTAATAAGTATAAAGTGAGTGTCTAATTGAGAATAATCTAAAATTTAAACTTTCTATTGAGAAATAATATAATTCAAATATTAAATAAATACAATTCAAAAAACTTGGTTCTTATAATGTAAATTTCCCAGCATTTAGTTGCAAGTATATATTTAAAGAAATGTATCTGAAATAAAATGTGACAAGCGACACTATTATGTACGATACAAGGAGTTAATGACACGGTTATGCAGTGAGAAAGTATCATTTCATTATAGAATATATACGTACATATTAAAATTTCATTTCCACATTAAAATGTCGTTTCCACATGATTATTCTTATCTCATAATAACCACTCTTGCTCTATTCTTCCTCTTCTGTAGCTATGACGCGCCAAATATTTAGAATGACATGATTGATAATTGGAAAAACTTTTTTTGTATTTTAAATGTTCATGTATTGAAACTAACAATTAGAAAAATCGTTTTGTGTTCACAGGTTTAATTGAGTTGGAATGATTTGGATTGTTGTTCAGCATTGGAGAAGCTGACATTGTTAATTCTTGTAAAACTTAAGGCCAAATCATTCTGCTGTTATATTCGAAATTGATTTGAGCAGTACGAATGAATATTCTTTATTTTCAATTTTTTTTTAAATGATAAAATTTTATAACAGAACTCAACAAGGTACAGTGAGGCTCCAACAGGAAGCATAAAAACCTCATCTGCTTACATGCAGATGAGTGAAACACGATAACAAGCCTAACCAAGAACAGAAAAGAAAAACTATCCAAAATAACTAGCAAACGCATGAAGAAGAGTTCAGAACCAAATAATCTAAACAGCCGGACAAGGGAATACAATAAGAGTAAAGAACTAGTCAAA